GCTGTGGAATTCCTTGTGTAAACCACTTCTCAACAAGAGACGCAATTAGAAGTGTCCTGCCTGGACTGCAGAAACAAAAGACCCAACTTTACCTCAGTGTTTTCAGTGTGTTTCTGTTTTCAAATAAATCCTTCATGAATAAAATTTTTATATCAAGGTCCCAGAACTTTGACGAAGAATGGTGCTTTTTCTCTGCTGACAAGTTTTACGGAGATGTTGATTTCATTTTTCTAAATAGGACTTGGAACTGGCCTGCTCGGTCAGAAGCACCTGACTATCATGACTAACATTTCCTTTCCTTTAATTGGCCACAAACTGGCCTGACCCGAACCCCACTATGAAGTTTTGTTTAAAGAAACATGAGAAACAGCTGAGCAAACAATGCAGATTAGATAAAGGATACAGACTGATTGATTTTATGTCATACTACATTACTGCAGTAATTCATATAAAGGTAGCCCAAATATTAATTCTAAGTTCAACACATACAATTCAGCAGGGCAATCAATAATTATAACATTGTAAACCTTTTTATAGCTCTCATTGTATATGCCAAGATAATTGATCAATCATGTAAAAGTTTTGCTTTTGTTGATTCAATTACTGAAATTAATAAACTTATTGCTTGCATTTTGAATCTTTTAAAATGCATCTAAAGGTAGCAAAACTAATGCCACTTAAATGCCTGCCACAACTCGGAGAAAGTATGTGGTAGTCCATTATGAAATGCAGATGTTACAAAACAGACCTGCTGAAATCTAATAACAATGTGAGAAATTAATTTATATAAAAACAATGTTTGCACAGACTTTGGTTTTAGGTTAAAGAAGTAAAAAATAAAATTTTTCCAAGCATGTGATGCAGCTTCATCTTGATGTTTTCTAGTTTGTTTTTTATCAATATGAATTTAATAATATGAAAGAGGTTTATTCTTATTTATTGAATCTCTAAAGTTTTCTTTACATTATATTTTGAATTGCATTGAAACTTAAAAAATAAAATAACACAACAAAGTGAATCAACAATAGATTCATTCATCAATAGATTTTTTTCATGTAGTTTGTCCAGGAATTGACTCAAAAACTGAGCTCCAAATTGAGTTGTTTTGTACATAAATAAAAAAATAAAAAAATTGAGTAAGGTTAGCTTTGTAGATAAGTACATTTTTCATAACAAAATATGTGGTTCAGTTAATGCCCTGAAAACTATGAGGATAGTCTGTTAGGTGTTCAGAAACAGAGGAACAAACACTCTCTGTGGTGGCTGGTTTAAAGCCGACCTGAGGCTAAAAATCTAAATGGCGGTGTGTAAAATGCGTCGAGTCAGCAGAGATGTTAGCTGTCCGTTTCTCACCTTCGCTCTGCAGAAGTCCAAGAAAAACGGAAGAGCAGGCTTGTTGGTCCTGTCTGTACATATTTTGGAAGATAAATTGGAAGAAGGTAAGAAGATTATTGAGAACTGCAGAGAAGATCATCAGGGCTCCTCTTCCCTCTATAAAAGACATTTCATCCCAGCGCTGCATGTCCCGAACCCTTAACATTATCAATGACCCCTCACACCCCTACCATAGACTGTTCTCCCTGCTGCCCTCTAGGAAGAGGCTTCACAGCATTTGATGCAGGGGCAGCAGATTAAGAAACAGCTTGTTCCTCACTGCCATCAGAAAGCTGAATGTTGAAAAAAACTCAAAATCATGTCACAGACACTGCATCAAACTAACCACATCAAAGCGTCTTTTTTTTTTTTTTTTTCACCATGTTTTTTTTCTCCCACAGTGTTTACATCTGATCACTTTAAGAGATGGAAATGTCATGATAGCTGTACAAAACAAAATTTTGCTTTGTATACACTCCGTGTATAAAAAATGACAATAAATGTCTAAGTGATTGCTTATTTCAATTTGCATCTGTCCTCTTTTGTGGATTAAACCACACAGGGAGTGATGTGCACAAAACAGACTGAATACTAGCAGTTAAGAAGATAAACAGCACCTCTGGAAGTTTGTACTTGAGTATCTGCGGGAAATGCAGTCTCTGCCTTAGCTTCTGTCAGACAGACCTCTGTTTAAAGTCTGAGGACAGTCTGAGATTCTAAGAAAGTCTAGTTCCGTGAAACTGAAAGTTAACCACAGTTCAAACGGTTATGTTTGAATTAAT